GGTTTATTTTTGTAGGATCTGGTCCTTGATGGAAATTTTACTGGGATCCTGGGATGCCCCTTACTGGGACAGGGCGGCTTCCCAATATATTCCCTCATTCTAAACACAGTCCTGTTGGCTTCCCTTGTAAAGCTACATCTCAATTTCCTCCCCCTCTTCCCATGGTTCAGTGGCATGAACTGCACAAAATGGTCAGTGAGTGATGATAGCGTTCAATTAATTGAAAGAAGTAATTTCAATTAATTGAAGAAATCCTCCCCTTAGGAACTGGGACCTGCAAACCCACCAAGCTTAAACTTGGCGTGGAGCAAAACTCATACATTATCAGGTATGATCGTGAGGGGCTGTAGCCACCTCCTGCACTTGATTCCTGGGCCCACATTCTGCCTGTGGAGAGAGAACACCATATGCTGCTGGTTTGAATTATATACTGTGTCCTATAGGACAGTGCCTCAACCTCCTACACTGTTGCCTACCAAATGTCATCATGACTGAGCTTTCAGCAGGCTGTTCTACCATTTTATAAAGCCAGCTGTTTCTGGGCACTGAAGCATTTATGATTGATTACCAGTGAATTACCTAAGTGTAAGCTCATTATCTATACAGCATGTCCTTTGGTCTGAGGCACGATTGTGTCATTCAACATGGCAATTAAAGTATAAGGTAAGTCCTTGAATGGGGATGCTGGTGGAAACATCAAAGACAAATCTACATCCAGAATATATGGTTATCCTTGTCAGGACAAAATGCTGTACCTCCTTGACATGAGGGGTCCAATATAATCAACCTGCTGCCAGGTAGTTTGATCAGCCCAGAGAATGGTAACATTCTGGGGGTTTATGCGGGAAGGCCACCCTTGGTTGGCTGCATACTTAGCGTGGGCAGTAGCAGGATTAGCGTTGGTGAGGGGGAGACCATGGTGTTGAACACAGGCCCCCATTCTTGCCTCCGTAGCAACTTTGTACATGATATATTGGCTGGGGAAATGGCTAACTGACATTCCCTGAATGGGTCATCTTGTTTGCCTGATCTTTAAGAGCCTGCCCTTTTGTGCACATTCTATGATGGGTATTTATGTGGGGCACAGAGATCATATTCTGTAATTCCTGCAAATCAACCCACATACCTTTATGTCAGTGATTTTTAAGTTTCTGTGTTTTCAGGTTTATGCTTTGCTGGCCAGATCCTCTAGTTACTGGCCCATGAGTCAGTGTTGAACTGTACTTGTCATTTCACTCCCTGTGGAAAACCAGATGCCAGATGTACAACCCAGTTCTGCCCACTGAAAGGCTATGCTGAGTAGAGTTGGAGCACCTTCCTAACTTAGGCAGGCATGCTCTGCAGATGCACCCATTATCCAGGCTCATGCTTTTCTCTCCTTCGTTTCCTGTCCATTGGGGTTTCCCCCTAAAGCCAAAACTGGATTGAGGGAGGGGCAGCAGCCTGGAAGGAGAGTGTGCCTTGGGAATCTGAGCCACTTGTTTGACTTATGCCTTCTGGACCTGCTTGGGTTTGGTCTCCTATATACCACTTGTTTTGTAATGGAATTCCATTCTAAATGTCCACTTTGAAGGTTTAGTGGATCAGGTAATGTGAAGTTCAACACGGGCAGTTCAAATCTCATAGTTACTTGATGTTAATGAGCAGGTAGTTAATCTCTACTGGTTCCTAGTAGTAAGCTACAAGCTGCCTTTCAGATGGGGAACAGTTGTCTGCAGAGCAAAGGCATGGGCTCCCTTTGATGCAGCTCACACTTATCAGCTTCTTGAGGCAGAAAGCAGGGTGGAAAAAATTGGATCGTGAACTTGGAGGGGCAAATGGAAGGTATTCAACATGCTTTGAACACTTTGAAGAATTTCTGCAAATTTTTAATGATAAACATTTAAGCAGCTTGTCTGTAACTATACATCTTTTTGTATAAGAGGGCATTAGTGATGGCTTGACTTGGGATTAAAATTTAGATTAATTTTATAACAGTGATTTCCTCATCGTGCCTTTTTTTGGGGCTTAGGGACATTTATTTCTCTTTCCTTTTCCTTTGCTTTCCCCTTTTCCTTCCTTTTCTTTAGATGGCCAAGTAGTAGTTAGAACATATTTCTATTGATATTTCATTGCAGTATATGGCTAAACTAAATGGGTCAGTGTCAGACCAGACTGGTAATTCACTTCCAGCCAGATTTACTGTTTCTGGCTTCTTTTCTGCGAATACCTGCTTGTTTCTGCTCTTTAAAGGAAACAGTGGATGAGGTGATTTCATATTATCTGCACCATCTATGTTGAGATAGACCTATGGCCAAGTAATCAGAAAGCAGATGAATATAATTGGAATAACTCTAATTCTCTTGCACTATTTTAGTTCCTCCTCACCCTACCTATAGAGTTCCTACTTCATAAATTCCTATATTTTTTAAACAAAGTTTAATTTATTTTCAATACATTTAGCTAGCTTTAGGGTGACAGATGTTATTGTTTCTGTAATATATATACGAAGCAGATTGTTGCTTCGTGAGACATTTTAAATTCAGAAAGTTTCGATACCGTCCTTTTTCCCCCGCAGTACTGTTATATCTCCTGTTTCATTTGCAATGTTTTATAATGTTTATGATGTAACAGCTGATCTGTGCACATAAAATAAGTACTGCCAGGAATCTAATTTTTTATTGTAGTTCTGTGGTAACTGGTGGGGGGAGATTAATTGATAATTCTACTTTATAATTAGCTAATATGATTCTAAATCATTATAGGAACATCTTTAAAAAAATAATCTTTTATGTTGACAATTTTGGCTAGGTGTCAGTTTTAGTGGGAAAAAAAAGCTACGTTTAAGAATCTGTTCCTTTGGAGGCCATCAGGACAGGCTGGAATTATGAGAAACCAAATGTCACTTCAATTTATTCAGCACAAATTTATCTTCCAAGAGAAGCTTAAAAATATACTGCCTACTTCATTTCCTATTTTTGCTGGGAGCCTCATTTTATATTGACATTCACATTCTTTTTTGTACTTTAGCTTTGGAAATTGTTGTTAAAGTTTCCCATCACCTGAAGAATTGCATTGGAGATATCCAGTTTTATATTATGCAATGATTCGTCAGTGGCAGGTGATTAAAAATTACTTATCTTTAAACATTTAAGTATAGAAAGTTGACATGTCTGGATTGATAACTTCATAAAAAGTAGTTTATTGTTCTGAGAATGCCTTGGTCAAATTCTCATTTGTTGGCTTCTCTAACACTAATCACATAATTAATTTTCCCCCCATTCTCATGATTGACTAGCAGTCTGTGACTTTTGTTTGTTCTGAAGTAATGATGAGATCTGTGGGTCTCTTTTCAGATGATGTTGCCCTATCACATCAAGGGAAGAGGATATGTGACATTTGCAGAATTCCTGTTTGAAGGGAATTTTGCCCAGGAGTTAAGCATGTTTGCATTTTCATATTTTTATTAAAAGAATGCCAAGTGTCCTAGTCATTGAACTCCCTTAACTTGGTAATTTGGTTGATTTGTACGTTACCCTAGGCATTGTTTCTACTTAGGGAAGAGAGAGCAGAAGGGACCAGAAACCCCTGCCAACATCCCTTTTCCTCCTTTGCCACCCCTCAGTGATGTCACCAAGGCACAGCCACATGTCCTAGCTGGGCAACATCACTGTATTTGGTGCCCTAAGCTAATTGAGTATCATCAGCTCCTGGAAATACCCCTGGGACATCTGTTGCTACAGGTTTGAAAGACACCTCATTTAAAGCCCCAATGTGCTTAACAACTTCTATATATATATCCCTTTGGGTGATCTGTTCCTTGTCATGTCCTGAAATGCACATTTAATTTTTCTTAAAAAGAAACCAAAGGCCAACTTTAGAGAAGGGGCATTTATCATATATTTTTTCAATGCTGATGTGTCTCAGGATAGTCTTTAGGTTACTTTTAGTATGAAAATGTCACGATGGGGGATGTATTGTTAGAAGCTATTATCTTGGAAGGATAAATATGATCTTATGAAAAATAAGTGTATTTGAATTTTACCAAAGTTGGAGCATCAGGTAAAATAGAGGTCTTAGTATAGTTCGTCTTATTCTTTTCATAAAGAGGCAAGAAAAAGTCTTCTTGATTATCAGTTCATTAAGAAACATTATACCCACCAGCAGACAATTAAAACAGTTTGATTGTATAATAGTGAGGGGAAAAAGTTTTCTTTATATGGCTATTTCTGGACTTTATCTCCAGAAATTGGGCCAAATAACAGGCAAGCATCTCACAAATCTTCACTGTGATAAGTACCCCAGATGAGTTGGACGTAGCAGGGACAACAGATCGAAACACACTTTTGGGAATTTGTAAGTTAAAATGCCCTTGCTGGCTTTAGAGACTTTATGTAGCTCAAGTATCTAAAATTGGTATTACCATTTGGTTTCGGATTTAAAGGCATTTTCACTTTTTTTCTCTCAAATTTTAGATATGTATTTTTTATTTTCAGAAAAATTAATTTTGACTTCTTGAATGAGAATTTTTTTTCTTTCAGTGGAAGACACCACATTTTCATATGTACATATGAAATAATTAAGTCACTGTTTTCTAACCTAGGGTTATGACTACAAAGGGGTGTTGGAGCTGTGTGAGGCACTGTAGAAACTATAGGTAGAATTTTGGAATACTTATTTAATAATTGGTTGATGCTTTTAGGTTTCTTTTTTTCCTTCTGTGCTGAAAAATCTGTGGGTTTTTTTTTTTATTGACTAGGAAGGTCTTGGAGAGATTTCAGTTAAAGACTATAATTTTAAGTTACATCTTGATGCCACAGAAGTGTCGGAAGTAATTAGTACACAGTATCATAATTTACGTATTATCATACTTGGAAGCATTTTCATCTTTTAAAATTAGAATTTTAATAAGAAAATGCTGGCAAACACTATTTTTAATGTGAATTTGGAAACAAACCTAGTTTCATTTAGAATGAGTTGTATCACATATTTGAAATCTATTCATATATGTTTCCTGCGGGATGGATGCATGTTTCCTGGCCTTTGGAGTTCTCTGGGTGACAGCCGCGGTCAGTGAGCCAGCCCAGGGAGTGGAAGTGGGGTCCCCTGGAGCAAGCTGTCAGACACGCTCCCCTCAGCAGTTGTCGGGCCGCCCAGCTGTTGATGGGGTACAGTTTGTGTTCAGGTGTTCATTCTAGCAGTGAGTTAAAGGGAGGGAATTTGAAAGCTAGTGTTTTGCAGGGACGGGAAATAAAACACAGACAGCGTAAGAGGCAACCGGGGCAGCAGGGCTCGGGCGTTGATTTTGGAGGTGATGTGGGGGCCCAGTGACTGAAGCCTGTCCCGGCGCCGCGTGCGTCTGCAAGCAGGGCGCGGGCCCTGGGCTAGCTGCACACAGGAAATTCCGCGGCTGCTGCTGTGTTCTCAGGGAGTTTAAAATACGAATAATGTTACCCTTGAGGGCCCCCCCGGCTGGACTTTTGTGCTCTGGTGGTAACCAGTCTTAGCAGAGAATGAGTATGTCATGCTTCAGTGCCACCGCTGTTAGTATTTATTGTTTGTAAGCGTGGTTTTGAGAATGTTGCTGGAAGTAAGAAGAAAGGAGGGAAATAGGTATTGAAGCAAACAGTAATAAAATAGATCTATCGCTGGGACTCTGAACCAGGCAGCGAAGTAATTTAAGATGTATTGCACTGTTGTTGTTTTTTAAGAAAAAATGTAAGGTGGAAAAATGCAATGGTTTATTGTCCTGTAGGCGGTAGTTTTTATTTAAATATAGTGTCTTTGATATTGCAGTATTCTTTTTAAATAATTACTTTTATTTATTATTGAGGATATGTGTCAGTTTGTGGTGTAGGGTGGGGTTGGCATTTTGAGAGTAAGGAAGGACCAGGAAGATTGCAGTAGGTTATACCCTTGAGGAAGTGATGCTGTAAGCAGGTAATACTTAGAAGCCTTACGAAACGGGAATTTTTTGAAGACAGGCACCAAATTTTATTATTTTTTCTTTAGTTCAAGAAGTGTTTTATCCAAGAGTGCCTGCTATTGTTAGGTACCTGATTAGATATTGGAGATTTATTTTTTAAAAGGTTTAATAATATAATGCCACATTAAACTTTAATAATTTTAAGAGACTTTAATTTAAAACAGAGAACATAAAACACTATATAACCACCATAAATTATAAGATATTTCAGTTATCTATTATAGCTATAAACAAAATGTTTATAAGAAAGTAGAAATGTGTTTTTAAACTGATAAAGTTTTGACTTTTTCCCACCTAGTCACCCTTTTAGTATGTTGGGTATTGCTAAGCCTTTCCCAAATTTGCCCGTCATTTCCTGTTACAATGGTTTATTAAATTCTACAAATTAAAAAACAAATGGCCCACATTGTCATTAATTAATGTGAAGTACTCATTCAGTGGGTTTATTTGTTCTCATGGTGTCACTTTTGAAAAGGAAGAAAGATAACCTAATAAATCTTGAACAAAGCTGATTTTCTTAGGCTCCAAAAAAGTTAACTGCCTTTAGTGAATTCATTGTTTTAGTCTGTTCATTTAAGTAAATTAGTATTTTAGGGTATCTCTACATTAATTTATTTTATTTTTTATTTTTGATTATGAACAGGCCATAGCACTAGTTATCAGTGCCACTTTGTGATCTGGCCAGAGCATTTTGGGAACACTAAACTGGAAAACTGTGCCCATAAGCAGTAAGTCCTAGATGAATTTAAAGTTTCCTTTTTACTGATGTTGAGTAGACTACTAAATTAAGCATCAGGATGGTGTTATTAGCAAACAAATTTAGTTGTACGTGAATAGAATTTAATCTTGGGTTTTCTTTCAGATCTGCTTATAGCATTATGGTCTTGGTTACAATAGTTAAATTTGGCACAGGGACTTTTGACAATATGGTAAGTGAAATTTATAAAGGTTACTTTACATCTGTGCTTCATTACAAAACCTACAGAGTAAAGTTGCTAAGTGACATTTAAATATTTTATCTCAATCTCAATTTGAGTAAATTTTTCCTCAATTTTGGGTAAATATTTAAAGGAATAAAATACGTAATTCAGGGGAAATAATAAACTGAGAATGCAAGCAATTATAGCAGACTACTGTTTGCCATACTGTTCTGTGCTTTCAGGTCTTTGGATGTAAAAAAGAAATATTTGTGTGTTTGTTTGTGCATGTAATATACATATAATATATATTACATGTTTATATATATAACACATATATATAACCTGCTTATATATAAGCATATATGATACATGCAATATATTTAAATATACATATACAGATAGATACATAGATGGATGTAGGTATGAAACTTGGATTTTTATAACTTAAAAGATCCTGCCAATATGTTGGGAGTCACTATGAAAACTTGTTGACCTTTTGGTTTCATAGCTGACAAAATTTTGAAACCTTTGCCTCCCTCAGTAAAGACAAAGAACTGTCATAGCTATTTAGTCCAAAACATGTGGATTTTTTGTTGGAGGTATATATATATATTTCCTTGTGTTCTTTGATATATATTAGTATAGTGAGTCTTATGCCATTGTCAAAGTGAAAATTGATTCATTTATAGTTTCTAATATAAAAACATTCACAAGGATAAAATGTTTGGCTATCTGGTTATATTTAATAAATTCAAAAAGNGTATATATATATATATATATATATATATATATTTCCTTGTGTTCTTTGATATATATTAGTATAGTGAGTCTTATGCCATTGTCAAAGTGAAAATTGATTCATTTATAGTTTCTAATATAAAAACATTCACAAGGATAAAATGTTTGGCTATCTGGTTATATTTAATAAATTCAAAAAGTCTGACTGGGTTTGTTGATTTGGCAAGTGCCAGTATATAAGCTTTCTGATCTGAGGTGAATTTTTTTTTTTAGGTGAAAAAAAATAGTGTCATTAGTTTTAATCTTACAATTGATATAATAAGCATCCAGCTAAAACTATATATTGGGGATAGAAATAGTATTTGTTTGCATATTTTTCTTCCTCAGTTAATCCAGGGTCATTGTGACAGGTACACTCACTTTCCAAATACAGTTTTCTGGGCAGCCCTGGCTGGGTGGCTCAGTTGCTTGGAGTGTCATCCCATACACCAAAAGGTTGTGGGTTCAATTCCCAATCAGGGCACATACCTAGGTTGTGGGTTTGATCCAGGTTCGGGGTGTGTGCAGGAGGTCACAAATTGATGTTTCTCTCTCCCTTCCTCTTTCTCTAAAAAAATCAATGAAAAACATATCCTTGGGTGAGGATTTAAAAAAAAATTCTCTGGGCAATTAGAATCAATGCAGATGTGATTTCTGCCTCTTATCTTTAAAAAATAAAATAGAAAAAAAATGGTTTGTGGATGTGTTTAGCTAGTGTAAATATGACGTTTTAATTTTTTTCAAGGGCGTCTTCTGGTGATTTTATTTTTCACTATTTGTATCACTTATATATAGCAAAAGATTTTTTTCTTCAAAAGATTAGCTCACTAAAATTTAACAAATACTAAGTAACAATTTAAATTTAGTATAGAAGTCTATCTAGATCAAGTGGAAAACTATAAACTACAAAATGTTTTGGGTGGTATTATACGTAATGGTTAAGGCCAATACTCTGGAAGCAAAGTCTTGGATGTACATTATAGCTTCACTCACATAATAGCGGCGATTTGGGGCAAAATTGCTTAACCTCTGGTTTCTTCACCTATGCCGTGAGAATGATAACAGTACCCTCCACACTGGATTATTGTGAGGGCTTAAATGATATTTAACAGGCCAGTAAGCACTCCAGGTGGTGGTAGTCATTATTTACGATTTGCGATATTTACCATTTATAATAATTTGTTCTGGTGAGAGACTATTTTTCTTATATTATTTGCTATGAATTTAATATTTCATAGGTGGCTTATATGCTACAGTTTATTTTAAGAAAAAAGATATATTTAAAATTACGTTACTTGTGCCTGGTAAAATATACACTCTTTGGTGCATGTGAGAGATGACCAAAATAACATTTATATTGGAGTATATTTTTTTCCTTTCTTGGTTCGAACAATCAGGACCCATCTTTGAATCCCAGAAGATTAGAGTATGGATAATAGGTTCTTAGATCCGGAGGGGACTTTTTAACTCACCGTCTCCATTTTACTGAAGAGGAAGCTAAGCCTTTGGGTGGTTGTCTTCCTCAAGTTAGCATGACTGGTACCTTAAGGTCAGTCTAGACCTTTTATCTTTTGATTTTTTAACCTCTCTCTCTCTATTTTGGTGAGTATAGAATTTTTGGCAGTGTTTGAGTAACAGTGACATTCATTCACATTAAAAGAAGAAATGACATAACTGTGGTTGCTTTTAATCTGTTTATTGATAAGTGAGTCACATTAAGAACAAGATTCTGGTGTTGGTTTAAAAGATTGGCTTACTGCTCAGTGGGCTAGTTGACCATACATTCAGGGGCAGAGCTATTGTGCAGACTGTGGTCTGGGCTACATGAAGGTAGACCCAAAGCCCCCCTCTCTCTAGCCCAAACCTCTGGTCTTTGCCATGTAATTTTTCCAAAAAGAGAAACATGACCACAGAACAGAGTGTTATTTGAGCCAAGAGCTGTTGAAACATTAAGTTAGATTTCTTCCTGGAAATCAGTAGACTAAGACTGTGTTAGCTCATGTTTCATATTACACAAGAGAAAATAAACTGAAAGGTCAGTTGAACAGTTACAGCATTGCCCTTTTCCAGGGTAATCAGCAGAGCATGTAGCAGAGATGAGAACAGGAGCGTGACTGAAAAGAGAGTGGCTGATAAAGAGGCCGGCTGCTTAAAGTGCTTGGGACAATCCTTGACACTTGCAGGCCTAACCAGATGGGCCATCTCACAGGACTTACCTTCAGTAATTCTGATTTATTACTTTCAGATGATTTTTTTTTCTACTTAGGCAGTCAGGTTTTCACATTGCCAGAAGACCCCAGAAATTTTAATATTGACCATTAATCATACCTTGGTAAATTGCAAGGGCAATATATTATTAATTTGTTTGCAACCAAGAGACAAGACAGAGTGATTAAAATTAATTTCTAGCCACATTTTGTTAACATATTCTAATTAATTAATCTGTTAAGAAATAAAAATATGTTTATATTAATGACTATATAGT